TTATCGACCCTGGATGCTATGACAGCTCGAAAGTTGGTAATTTGTGCACATCACACTCGAAATGTGTCTTCTTAATCACCAAGTTAGTCTCAGCTTCCCGTCGCTCATTTGCATTCGTCTATGATGGCTTCACGGTCTTTCTCCGCTGTACTCGTCGCCCTCTGTGCCTTCCAGGACATCAAATTCGTGACGGGCAACGCCACTGACTGCGACACTGAGTGCGCGACAACTTACCCTGGGTCATATTGTAAGTATTGGAAGACGCCAAGCACTTGCTTCGGCTCGGATGCATCATGCTTCTGCGGCACGAGTGAACCGACTGAAGCTCTCCGAGGTTCCACATCCTCTGCCGCAGTGACGGATGAGATTACTGAGGCCACTACAAGCGAAGGAGGTACCACAGCAGCTCCCGAAGCAACGAGTATGACCGGTTCTGAAGCTACTGTCGATACCACAGTAGCGGTCAGTACAGCTGCTATGACCGATGAGGTTGCTGTCACTACTCCAGCTCCTGTGACTGGCGAAGTGACCATCAGCACGGCAGCTGGGGAAGCTCCCGGTAGAGACAAGGATGATTCTGATGCTACCACCCAGGTCGCTACGGAGGCTGCGACTGTCACGACTACGATCGGTGTTTCTGTCGAGCCTGCTACTATAACGTCCCCTCTGCCGGTCAGCAAAGCTGCTGTGACCGATGAGGTTGCTGTCACTAATGCAGCTCCTGTGACTGGCGAGGTGGCCATTACCACGGCAGCTGGGGAAGCTCCCAGCAGAGACAAGGATGATTCTGATGCTACCACCCAGGTCGCTACTGAAACTGCAACTGTCATCGCCTCGACTACGATCGATGCTCCTGTTGAGCCTGCTACTATAACGTCCCCTCTGCCGGTCAGCACAGCTGCTGTGACCGATGAGGTTGCTGCTACCACTGCAGCTCCTGTGACTGGCGAGGTGGCCATTACCACGGCAGCTGGGGAAGCTCCCAGCAGAGACAAGGATGATTCTGATGCTACCACCCAGGTCGCTACTGAAACTGCAACTGTCATCGCCTCGACTACGATCGATGCTCCTGTTGAGCCTACTACTATCACGTCCCCTCTACCGGTCAGCACAGCTGCTGTGACCGATGAGGTTGCTGTCACTACTCCAGCTCCTGTGACTGGCGAAGTGACCATCAGCACGGCAGCTGGGGAAGCTCCGGGCAGAGACAAGGATGATTCTGATGCTACCACCCAGGTCGCTACGGAGGCTGCGACTATCACTACTACGATCAGTGTTTCTGTTGAGCCTACTACTATAACGTCCCCTCTACCGGTCAGCACAGCTGCTGTGACCGATGAGGTTGCTGTCACTACTCCAGCTCCTGTGACTGGCGAAGTGACCATCAGCACGGCAGCTGGAGAAGCTCCCGGTAGAGACAAGGATGATTCTGATTCTACCTCCCAGGTCGCTACGGAGGCTGCGACTGTCACGACTACGATCGATGCTCCTGTTGAGCCTACTACTGTAACGTCCCCTCTGCCGGTCAGCACAGCTGCTGTGACCGATGAGGTCGCTGCTACTACTGTGGAGACGACCGATTCCGAGACTACTCTCAGTCCGATTGTGTAGCCGATTTAGGTTAATGAAGCTTTGTAATGTCCCGGAGTGCATCTTAATACAATCCTGGCCACTGCAGGATGCCTTGATAACGAGTGTATAAGTGTTTATCTGCCCGAGTTGCGTTGAAGGATACGTTGCGCCCCAACATCACGAGAGCATCGACGATACACCCAAATATGAAACCTATCTGGAGTGCACCAGAGCTATCTGAGCGTTCGAGACAGACGAGCGAAGGCGGGCAAGCCGCGCCAGACTGACAGCGGTGGGTGCACTCGCTTACGCACTAGCATCATGCTAATAGCATGAGCTCATGTTGATCCTCTAGGGTCTGAATTCCGATTGCTGATACACTGACAATCTTGTTGATAGTGAGCTCAAATACAGAGGTTGGATATCCTACAACTTTTGATGTATCCTTGGCAGCTCAATGTGTTCTCATCAAGCTTGATATGTGTGACACCGACCAAACATCAGGGTGGATGCAATCGGAGGGCGAGCTTGTTACTCGCGTAGCTTCCTATGGGAATCAAGCCAACTGTGGTGCTGTGTAAATGCCCAGCCGCTCAGCCAATAAGGTTTATTCAGCTGAGTAATTATTTTGAGGTTATGCCTTGGCAGCGGTTTCAGATGGATTGGACAACGAGGAAGTTCCAGTATGACCCGATGAGGAGTCATGAACTGTGCCCTACAGCCACGCCGAGTTAGAAGACGTACACGAAGCCCGATCGCTGCAGGTTACACAACCCGTTGTAATCTGAAATATATTCCCCTAAGCGTTGATAGTGAGCGGCGACGAGCGATTGCTCTGCATGATCATCACATTCGCCTTGGCAATCAGAACGAGCCGCAGACCCGAACCAGGAAATGTCCAATCGGTCGAAACGATGCTTGCGAGAAGTCGACCAAACTTCTCGGAAAAAGAGTGGCTGAGAACGCAGCGCGCACCACACTGTATATGATGCAGTATCTTGTGAAACGATTAGGCAGATAGACACCGGGCGCACTGTTGTTCAGCTACAGCGAACGAACATCATTGAACTCGTTAGTGCTCAAACAGGTTGTCCAGTTAGCACCGGCTTATGGCGTTAGCATAGGCCCTCACAGGTCCAGACTAGCTCCGCACTTCCCGCAGTTTATTCACATTCGTGCAAGATGACTATCCGCTCCTTCCCCTTCGTCATCGTCGGTCTCAGTGTTCTCCAGGACATCACAAACGTGATGGGTAACACCACCGAGTGCGATGCCGAGTGTGCCGCCACCTATCCCGGGTCGTATTGTAAATACTGGCAGACACCCAGCAGGTGCTTTGGCTCCAACGTCCCTTGTTCCTGCGGGTCGGGTGGAACAACTGAAGCCCCCCGTAATTGTGATGCTGGTTGTGCCTCGGATACTCCTGGCTCCTACTGCAAGTACTGGGCTACACCAAGCACCTGTCATTCATCCAATGCGCCATGCACTTGCGAGGTTGCTCCAGTTACCACTACTCCAAGTGAAGCCACCGATGAAGTCACTGAGACTACCACAATTCAGGACGGCACAACTGCCGCCCCCGAAGAAACCAATACGGCCACTTCTGTTGCTGTCGACACTACCGGAACTGTAACTACAACCGATGCGGCTGATGTTACTACCGACGCTCCTGTCGAGCCTACCACTGTTGCACAAACGACCAGCGCAGCAGCTCCCTCGGAAGTAACCACATCTCCAGATGTTACTGGAGAGGCCTCATCCACCACATTTTCTGCTACTACAACAGACGATGTCGCCACCAATGCCGCGACTACAGCTGACTTCCCAGTCACGACTATCAGTGCCGCCACCACCGTTGATATCACCACCGAAGCTCCAGCAACAACGACAGAGGTGACCGATACTCAGGCTACCCCCAGTCCGAGTGTGTGAAGACATTTTGGAATGAAGCTTAGAAGTGTTTAATGAACCGCATTTTGACTAACCCGCGGTATCGCATGCTATTTTGATAACGAGTGAATGAGTATTGATCGAAAGAGTTGCGTCGATAGAGTCGTTCGGCTTTCACATCGCATAAGCTTCTTTCATGCAGCTCACGGACCGTGGGTCGCAATAATTCAACTGTCGTCACGATGGTTTCTTTGTATAGTAACATCACGATGTACATCAGTATATACAAGAACTGTTCACCTTGCGATTCGGTCTTGCGGGGGTTCGAGACTCTAGCGGTTTTACCATCAGCACGCTAACCCGAAAATGTTCCTGAGTGGTTAAGATGTGAGTCGATTCCTTTGAGAAGGGAGAAGACCTCAAGTGGCTCGCAAGCAAGAAGGATGCATAGTATGTCGCAATCATCAATCAACCCTAGCTCGTTACCCAGGGTCACAGTTGGACTATAGACCGGCGAAAGAGATCTCCATCAACTGATCGCGATTGAGGTTGATCAAGGCATTGGGATTGCTAGGGCTTTGCTGTGGTCGAGAGATTCGAGACTCGGACTGACACATTCAGTATGGCTGAAAGGCTGCTAGAGAAATCTTACTCATAGCAGGAGGTCCAAAGGACACATTGATCCGTTCAGGTCGATGGATCCTGGTCAAGAAGCAGTAGTCCTTTGTAAGCGCTGCCACGTTAGGTTACGGATATGCAGAAAGGCGACTTGCCATCACGGTAGGATAGTTGTCGATTTTGTTGGAGGGAGTGTAGCGTGCAGACGCACCTTTGACCGACCAATTGCCAACATCAAACTATCATGGACCCAGGGGCACTTTCAGGCCCTTTCAGTGGCACTGAAAGGGCCTCCCTTGCGAATCTATCGACCATCCCTTATGTGAAAACACGCCTCATCGCAACCTTTCATTTCAATCGCTCAATTTCATTCGCGAAAATGGACAGTGAGAATGCGAGTGATTTAATTAACTCATCAACAGTGTGTTAGTGTTCGCAGATGGCGACATCGCAGCGATTTGAACTTTTGCAAAGATTAAAATGTTGCAAAGATTAACCAGAGCGATGTATCAACCACTCGGTCAAAGTGGCACTTTGAATGTGTCTGACATTAAATTCACTGGGATAAGTTATCCCAACCGAAGGGGATTCCATCTATAAATTTGCTTGCCACTACGTATAGGCTACGGCCCAACTGTTATTCGAAGTTATAACTATTCAATTCTATTCAATTGTCATCTACCGATCCGATCTTTCAATGTAAATCTACCGTCAACTATAATCATTAAATGAACCTTCTGTACTGCTGCTGCAGTCAACCCACCGTAAAGGAAATGTCAGTAGAATATAGCTCGAGGCGCCATAAAGCGTATGAGCGAGTTAATGCAGGGAATTCAAGAATGTTATCAACTCCATGGTGGTCTAGATTCACCTGGCATTGGATGCGAAGAGAGAGATATGGTCATATGGAGGAGCGCAGACCACAGTAAGGTGTCCAAATATGGTGCAAAGTTGACCTATTTTGTATCTTACGCCGATAACCTCAAGATACTCACGAGACAGCCAATCTCCCTCTCCAGCAACTTTGAGCATACCATCTCTGGTTGATTGTAAACACTGTCGTGCATCATGATTAAAAGTATATATCCGGAACGCCGGCTGATTTCTGTGCGACTCTTAATACAATTGGAGCGGCCCTTCGGGAGCAGCCAACACTACAAGATTCTCAGCACCACCGATGCCACGGTCTAGGTAGAACACCGTATACCTGGGCTAATCCATAACACGACCATCTAGAGCACACAGGTAGGCCTCAACGGGGATGCATAACGTCTGAATGCCATCAGTGCACGAAGAGCAAGGGTCGTCAATATGGTCATTGACCTATACTTTTATTGACAAGGCCGAACTTATATCCTTCTTGTTTAGTAGAATATAGTATAGCACTGATGTGTTCTTCTGGGAATTACGAGTGTAGACGAGCTTGATTGGCCACCCGACTGCCATCCTTCTCCATGGCTTTTGATTTCAAAAGTAATCGATCGTCAGGGCGTGCGCTTTTTGATTGATCTATACACGAGCTGTCGCTGTGAACACGTCGTCACTTCATTTTGTCCGACTAATGGTCGTTGAGTTGGGAACAGTGATGGTGGTTTAACGTAAACTGAGTCCTTCCGAGGACGATGATGTACCCCTAGATGAGGCTAGAATACGATCTTGTGATTGTTCTTGTGACTAGCCAGTCCGCATAATAAAGGCACCGCCATTACTGTTCTTATTACCAGCAGTGACTTTGATTCCACAATGAAAGGTGGCAGCTTTGGTAAGGGTAAAGGGAAGGGTATGAGCGGCAAAGGCAAGGGCAAGGGAAAGGGTATGAGCGGCAAGGGCAAGGGTAAAGGCAAGGGAGGCAAGGGCAAGGGAGGAAAGGGCAAGGGAGGCCATAAGGGACCCGCCAAGGTCATCGTCGAGCCCCATCGCTTCGAGGGTTGCTTCGTATCCCGTGGTAAGGATGAGGCTCTCCTCACCCGCAACATGGCCCCCGGTGAGAGCGTCTATGGCGAGAAGCGTATCACCGTTGAGAAGCCTGTAGAAGGCCAAGACCAGCCCGAGAAGATTGAGTACCGTGTATGGAACCCCTTCCGTTCCAAGTTGGGTGCTACCATCGTCGGTGGTGTTGCTAACATGCCCATCAAGCCTGGCAGCAAGGTCCTCTACTTGGGTGCTGCCTCTGGTACCACCGTATCACACGTCAGCGATATGGTCGGCCCTACTGGATGCGTCTATGGTGTTGAGTTCGCCCATCGTCCTGGCCGTGATCTCACCAACATGGCCAAGAAGCGTCCCAACATCGTAAGTCCTCTAAGGTTCCTCTTTCCTCCTTATCCCCCTTCATCAGGTCCCCATCATCGAGGATGCTCGTCAGCCCCTCCGTTACAGGATGCTCGTTCCCATGGTAGACGTCATCTTCGCCGATGTGGCCCAACCCGACCAGGCTCGTATCGTCGCTGTCAACGCCCAACAGTTCCTCAAGAACAATGGATGGTACATCATCTCCATCAAGGCTAACTGTGTCGATTCTACTGCCGCCCCCGAGGCTGTCTTTGCCAGTGAGATTGAGAAGCTTAAGAAGGACAAGCTGAGGTAAGGACACAGCACGAGTGTGGTTTAGTCATTCCCTGGCCTCTCAGACCCAAGGAGCAGCTTACCTTGGAGCCCTACCACAGAGATCATGCTGTGGTTATTGGTCAATACCGACCTATGAAGCATAAGAAGGCCGAGTAATGCTGTACTCGACTACGCTGTTGTCTGGACACTGAAATCCACTAGTCACTATCTGCAGCCTGGAAGGCGTTGATTTCTTGGAATCTCCGTTAACGGCTAACGTTTCCTCTACCATTACTCATTGCGTGTTGCGTATTACTATTAACAAAGTTATTCACCATTGACAGCAGACGCTATTCTTACGCTATTGACTTATCGTCTATTGAATCGTATGTGGCTCCACGACGTCGTTTCTATGACTCATTGTAGTCATAACGTCCAAATGACGTTACTCCTATTAAATAGGAATAAGAGGATGATGACGATTCGTCTTCATATTACTCGATTTTGACGTCGTAGCCCAATAATACCCGATCATCATAGAATTGTACCCGACTGATATGGTGGTTAAGACGCTTGCGAGTCCGCTCATACCCCCTCCTCCGATGAAACGCGACCGTTACTACAGCGTGCGCGATTGCTCACCATGTGGTGTAGCCCATTAAAATCGTTATAAAATTTGTTCGATTGTCCGTCGGGCTGTCGTCGTTGTTGTTGTGTCGACATCTCTAAGAGCAGTAAATACAGTAACCTTTCCCTGTAAGGATATGGGAGATAACTAAGTAGTCATGTTTGGATATGGTGTATTACTCCACTTGAAAGGAAGCATCATCACACATGTGTAGTCACCAGCAGACTCCTGAGGAGTACCGAGAAGGAGCTTGCCAGGGTAGAGACGAAGAGAGCCAAGGAAGAGGCTAAGCGACAAATTGTAGGAGGCGATGTGGTGGAGGTGTGCTGAATAATATCGCTGCGGTATTATCAGTTTTGATGGTTTTTCTATCGGTTTCTACATCATCGATAAGTTCCTCGCATCCGTTCGTTCCTGTGATCCCGTCTAAGTGGACCAATTCATATGACATATTCATCCAAGGTAAGAAGGCTACTACCTCTGGAGCCCAGCGTGTTGGTGTGGAGCTATCGACTATCTAGCCTTATATTGATGTATTCTGATATGGCTTCTATCCTTATGTTTGGGTTGGTCCTGAACGTGTTGTTATGCTCTTCCTCGGTCTTCCTAAGATCCTCTTCGATGTTCCCTGGAAGCTTCAAGTGCCTTACCCTGGTGAGAGTTGGATCTCATTTACTATGGAGTCCTTGATTATTACTACATGATCAGTAGTGACGAGTGTTTGTAGCTGTCTGTGGTTACTCCACCCTCTGTCGCGCTTATTGTGTTGATAGTAGCTCAATCTAGTAGTCTAGGCGTTTTTGAGTATAAGTTCATGTCCAGAGCAGTAGAGTTGGTAAAGCAATACGCTTCTACTGGGCGTATTAAGGTGAGGTTTGGTGGTAATGTTATTCATATGCTGAGGTTGTGGTGGCAGGTCCCGCAGCCTGGGGATACCGTCCATAATGACAGTTGTGTGCTGTCTATGGATACACCATTGTATCCTGTAGAGGGTCTGTATGTATCGTTGGAGGAAGGTTGGAAGGGGTATGGTAGGCCTTTTCTCGATGTTGATATCAATAACCACGACATAAGCAGCGCATCAGGAGCTGTGGTGTACTTACATATCACCACTAAATTGGTAGTGAGAGCAGCAATAATGGGGTAGAGTACATCAGGATGGTTTAGAGTCTAAAAAAGAAGGATGATGACGAGGAGAAAGAGCCGACCAAGTTGGCTATAGGGGTCCAAGGGGGATTTGATGGTGGCAAGGATTATGAGGAGGAAAAAGTAACGGAGGTGTGGTATGAACTCTCTGTAATTAAGGTTATTTCAGGATTATCGAATTGCAGTAGTCCCCTATTGTAATGGGAAGGTGGATACTGAGTGGTTGTATCTGTCCCTGGACGACCTGTCCGACCTACCCGAGATCGTGGCTGAGGCTGTTCTTGCTATTATCGATCATAAGGGTGCCGAGGATGATGCCGCTGTGATGGCTTGGGAGGCGGGGGAGGAGGAGCGGCCTGTTAGCAAGTACTAAGAAAGGGGGAGAGTGTTTGGATGTGCGTGGTAGGTATGCGGCTGAGCTAGCTCAGGAGGTGCCGGTGAAGAGGATAAGCCCTAACTCGGCTGATTGGTATTGTGAGAAGTCTGGGGATAGGGAGAATCTTTGGTTGAATCTCTCTGATGGATATATAGGTGAGTATTGACAGTGCAGGGGGGGGGTAGTATGCACGTGACATTTTGGGAGCAAATTTCTGTACACTTCTACCCGAGTTCTATAATAAGTGGAGAAACTGCTGAGTTCGGCTGAAGTAACCAGATATATATTCCCCAACACTACGTATTGATTGTCAATTCGGGACTCAATACTTCTCGTATGGACTTTGGAAATACTTGAATTGCGTTGGAGTATTCTGAAATAGAATTGCGTGTGAGGTAGTTGTATGTACCCTGTGGATGACGACGTTGTAATTTTCGACTATGTTGTCCTTAGGTGGCGGTAGGCGTAATTGGGACGGTAGTGGTGGTAGCAATGGGGCATTAGAGCATTATCTTGAGATGAAGGATCAGGGCAAGATGTACCCTTTGGTGGTTAAATTGGGTACTATCACGCCTAAGGGAGTGGCTGATGTATTCTCCTATGCTGAGGATGAGGATACTATGGTCAGTGATCCGTAATAAAGGGCGGTGGGGAAAATACGCAATATGGAAATTCTGAGGAAATTGTTGTTGGTTTTTGTACACTTCTACCCGAATTTGTATGTAAACTTGTATAATTAGTGGGGAAGATCTTGAGGAGCTCAGCTGAGGAAAACCCGCATATAGAGCGTAACCAGTCTCGGAGTATATGTTTGCTCTCTCGTAATTATGGGAGGTTATTTACAAATTCGGGTAGAAGTGTACAGAAACCAATGAGAATATCCCAAAACTTCTGCGGAATTTTCATATTGTCACACCGATTCTAACACTGAATGATGGGTTGTAATGAGGTGGAAGGGGTGATGATATTATTATTGTCGTTCTCCTATAGGAAGCTGGCACAGCATCTGGAGCATTGGGGGATCGACGTGATGAAGATGTCTAAAACGGATAAGTCTATGGCCGAGATGGAGGTTGAACTCAACAAGGAGTTTGCCTTTGATCGGATTACTGAGGCTGGCAAGGAATTGGATAGAGTGCGAGGCCCGGGTTTGGTGGGGCTTCGGAATCTCGGGAATAGCTGTTATATTAATAGCTTCTTGCAGCTGATATTTAGTGGTAGGAGTAGTTGAGGGGGAAATTGTGGGAGGAGTGGTATGGTATTGTTGTTGTCAGGCAGTGTGGAGGCTTTGAAGAGGAGGTATGTGGATGAGAATGGTGTGTTGAGGAGGAGTATGGCTCAGAAGGGAGCGGTAGTGATATGCTGCACTTGATCATGACTTGTATGATAATATGGTGCTCAGTTGGATAATGAAGGGAGCCCACAGAGAACTGTGTTGGAAGTGGCTAAGCTGACCAACGCCCTCAATGGGACGAGGTACTGTCCTCCGATACCACAGGGAGAGGAGGAAAGGAAGTTGGACCCTTTTAATGGTATCATGAACGATTATACAGGGGTGAAATATTCCGATGGGTGTACTGTTAGGTATGTTGGCACCAGTTAGTCTACGGAAGCACTTTGGCAAGGGTCATCCCGACTTCTCGACCTCATCACAGCAGGATGCAGCGGAGTAAGGGTTGAGAAGTAGGTAAGGTGTGGTATTGAATTTACGTGTAGATATCTGCTTTATTTCCTGGACAAGTTGGATCGAGCGGAACAAGCTTCAACAAGCTCGGCATCCTTCCATGATGGCTTGACTCTGAGTAGTGATGAATTTGGTTATGTTATAGAGGACCGGTTAGAGTGTACTAAATCTGGGACTGTGAGGTAGGTCTTCTCGGTCTTCGCTGAGTATTGTAGGGTATTCATATTAAGGTACTCAAGACGGCGGGAGAATCTATTCCCCTTGGTAGTGAGCATGGATGATGCTGTTGGTGACCATGGATCGGGGACCAATGAGGGTAGGGGTAGATGGTGGTGCCTATAGTAGTAGGGCTGGCTGGGCTTAGGGGAGGCTAAGAGGCTGAAGACTGATGATGATAAAGAGGAGGAGGAAGGGTCGTCGCCGCCTCCAGTGGTGCCCTTTGAGGCCTGTTTGAAGAGGACCATGGCCCCTGCTAATGTGGAGGGTTTCCGCAGCCCGGCTTTGGTAGTAGCTGGGTTATGGTGTAGTAGTGATGGTTAGTATGGTAGGGAGGAGAGTTGGTCACAGCAGTGAAGAACTTCACTTTCGTCACGATGCCGCAGTACTTGGTGGTACAAGTGTCGAGGTATGATGTGAGAAGTGGCGGAGGTGTGGTATGGAATTGCAGATATTATGTGGATCCATCATGGCAGTTGGCTAAGCTCAACTGTTCGGTACCTATGCCGATGGAGTTGAACATGGAGCGGTATCATAATAAGAGCCCAGGCATGCAACCAGGCGAGAAGCCCATGCCCGATTCGAACCCGGGCCCGACAGCTACTACTACTACAGTGGTAGAGGCTGATGAGGAGATAGTGGTAATGCTGATGTCCATGGGATTTGATATGGACCAGTCTAAGAGGGCATGCTTAAAGGTTGGCAATAGGTAGGAGGGAGAGGGAGAGTTCTCTACTATGGTGTGGACCAAATCGGTTTTTGCTATACCCATCAGCTGATAGTAGCTGATCGGCATGAAAATAATGTGTATTCATTGACAGCGTGTTGGATGGGTTTTATGGTAAGAGTACAATATCGATAGTATGAGGAGGTTGTCAGTTCCGCCGACGCTGCCGCCTCATGGTTGATGGAGCATATGGATGATCCACCTACTCCTACTAATGCTGAGGGAGAGGCCACTACTATAGAGGACAATGCAGATGCTGTGGTTATGCTTACCTCGATGGGCTTCAGTGATAGGCAGGCTAAGGCGGCTCTTAAGGCTACTAGTAACAATGTGGAAAGAGGTACTAGTAGTGGTAGTGGTAGTGTATGGTATAGTCT